TTAATTAATTTACTTCGAATTATTTGTAAGGAAAATCCTTTAATTCGAAAAGAAATATCAAGATTTGCTCATCCTCCGATGGGATGACTATCTCTTCTATTTCTTGTCTAAAGAGAATATTACTTCCTTGATAAAAAACGTGAATCGAATATATATTGAATATCAGCATTTGCGTAAAATAAAATATTAAAAAAATACATTGCATCATTTGAATAAAAACTAACTAATTAGCACTTAAAAAAACAACTTCGATTTATTTCAAGTTCACATTTCGTTCGAATGTCGTATCGGATCGCAGTACTTTGACCAAGCGATGTTTTCCATGCTCATTCTACGCATATGTGTTCTTGAAAGAATTCGAACGAAAAACATTAAAATTGAATGGAACTAACATTTCGTACAATCATTCAAAACAAATTCCAAAGGGCAAATAATATATAAATACTAAATATACAAATCGTATATAACAAGATGATTATAATATATATATATATATATATAAATGCGAATATAAAAGAATGTAAATGGATATAACATCTATTGTTGCATACATACAAAATAAATGAGTATGATTTAATAATAATAGGCATATTTGAAATAGTAATCCAAATGAATAATAAGTTATGAATATTTATGACAAAAATAAAATACACATAATTTATCCACATACATTGGGTACATTCAACATAAATAAATTATTACATATATACATTGGAATAAAATAATACCACATATAATTACATAATAAAAGAACCATCACTCAAGATTTAAATAACACACTGTGATTAATATGTAAACATGATGATACAAGGGTACTGAAATAATAATAAATCCATAACATAAGTAGGACTGTAATTGAAGAAAATAAAATGCCATGATTCCAACAGAAATTTAACCACAGATTAAATAACAGAAAACAAGGGACTAAAATGAATCAATAAAACATATCCTGCTTAAGTACAAAATAATTTAAAGTACAAGGACTCCAGCTTAAATATATACATATAGGTACTTAAAGGATAATAAGGACGAGAATGCAATATTAGAAAAACACGAACTCAAAATAACAAGAAATAATTGTTTCATTAAGGACTGAAATAATATAATACAGAACCAGAAGAACCTAAAGTGGGATTATCCCCTAACCAGAAAACACGAGGAAGGGGGACAACGAAGCTACGTCGTTTTACTCGGGATATTTAAGCCCAAACCCAGGCTTAACTCCCCCCATTTCTTCATTTGCCTCGTTTCAGAAACGAGAGAAGAGAGAGAATTCGAAACTCTCTCAACTTTCTCCTCGTTGGGGAAAGGAAGTCGCAGTCCATCGGCGACAGCCACGTCAACTCATGGTGGCCGGAGGGAGTAAGGAACTCCAGACCACTCCTCTCAACCCCCACAACACATATCCCAAACTTATTTAACCTAAATCCCACCCGTCTACCTCATATCTAAGGTGTACCTTATGAAAACCTTGAAAACCAACGACCCTCGGGCTTCCAACTGTTCAAGCCGAGGTAAGAACCATCCCTTTGCTCTCTTTTTTCCTTTTTTGTTCTCCTTTCGAATGGTTTTTTTTTCTTTTTGTTCTTTTTTTTCTTTGATTTCTTTCGTTTTTCTCTGGGCTCCGAATCCCCCCTTCATCTTTCTATCTCTTTGCTAATATATGGTTGCATGCTCATCCCTTTGATTTGTTTGCTGCCAACGAGGAGATAAGACCCTGGCAGAATTAGATCTGCCTTGGGATTTCTTTGGATTCGTTCTGATTTCCTTTCTTCCATTTTACTGATGATGAATTATTTTTACTGATGGAGAGGATATTTTGCACTGTAGGTGGTCATTTTTTAATGGATGCGTTCTGATCGGCTCCAATGATGGCGGCAACGAGGAGAAACTCGGCTGGGAAGCTAGAACGTTGGCGCGTGAAGCTCACGCGCCTGAGGGAGCTGAACACACGCCTGAGGGAGTTGAAGCGTCGATTGGCTTCTGAGATACCCTAGGGTTAGGGTTTAGTTGGGGCGGTTCGGGTCCTGCAACTGGATCAGGTTGCTGGGTTGGTTTCTGGAGCCGGGTGGGCTCTGGTTGGATGGGTCATGTCTGGGTTCTGTTTTGAATGCTGAGCCAACTTGTAATTGACTTGAATTAGTGTAATGGGTTGGCCTGCATAATGTAATTAAATAATATTAATAAAAATAACTATAATAATAATAATAAGTATAATATTTATTAATATTTTTGTAGACCCGGACAAAAACGGGTGTCTACAACCCGTGCTGCCTGGTCGCCTCGCCTGAGCTTCCTTCATCTAGTACAAACACCACAACTTTATATTCATATAATTATTTTTGTTTCCAAGTTCTCTAAACAAATATGAAAGTTACAATTCAACAACCAACCACAGGTTCTTCAATCCGTCAATTGAGTGTGATCTGAGAAAGGGAACCACAGGGGAAAGCATGAGAAATACTAAGTTTGTGAAACAAAATATATGTGAGACATAAAACAAAACTTGGTCGAAGGCTGAAATACCAAGAACAACAAAAAAAACCCAATCAAATCCTTAGCCTTAAAACTGCGGTAATAAAAATATAATTAAGACAAATTAAATAAACCCCGCGAAGTCAAGCTTATGTTCTATGCGTTTCAAAATAAACAAAAAACCAGAATACAAATTAAATAAACCGCTCGAGAGCGAAAATTCTTCCAACTGATTCGACACAGATAGCAATAATTTAAGAAAGAAATGCAAAGTTTTGGATTTGCCTAATTACTAATTACTAAAATCAAATACAGTCAGATTCCTTCCAAGAATTTCTACAAAAATAAATAAATAAGGAGAAACGTGTCGCAAAAAAAGTCAACATCAATCGACGACCTTACTGCTCCAGCACACCAAAAGGCTTCGACTAATTCAAATCTAACAAAAGAACATTTTCACACTAAATTTCCCTCCACAGTCAATACCTCCCTCCCACTAGAAAGAACCATAAAGAACGAAACTATGTCGACAACAAATAAACCGCTTAGTTTAGGGACGAATTTCTTCAAAATCATATGGAGAGCCTTCTGTCTCCGCTGGGGAGGGACTCCTATCACTTCCATCACTGCTCATATCTTCATTCTCCCCGTTGTCACCGTTTGCCTTGCTAGGCTCGTCTCCGGCGACTCCAGTATCAGCCCTAGCCCATTTCTACGCACAGACAAATTTCAGCAAAATCAAGTTAGTTGATATACTACACAATGCGGAGAGAGAGAGAGAGACTGAAATGGAGATTTGAGAAATACTTGGGAGCTTGAAAACACAAATGCCATTAAAATTTGGGAATTTTAAAATTAGCTCGGCGGTGAGGGAGATAAAACTTTTAAAATTTGAAGCGTTTTTAAACCCAAACGCCACTATATATGAATCATATTGCGGCGTTTGTGTAACGCCGCTAAAGTAATACTCTGTTACGGCGTTTGATGAAAAAACGTCACTATAGATGAATCATATTGCGGCGTTTGTATAGAAACGCCGCTAAAGTACTAACCTTTTACGGCCTTCTTTTGAAAAACCACCACTATATATAAACCATATTGCAACGTTTGTATAAAAACATCTTTAAAGTACTACATATTAACCCTATTGCGATGTTTGTATAAAAATAACGCTAAAGTACTATTCGTTTTCATCGTTTGGTGAAAATACACCATTATAGATAAACCCTATTGCGGTGTTTTTATAAAAATGCCGCTAAAGTTACCATTTTGTGGCATTTGAAATGTAAACGTCACTATATGTTTAAAGTTAGTGGTGTTCACTCTCAAAACGCCGCTAAAATGTAGAACAATTTTGCTGTAGTGTTCCCTACCCCTCCTTCTAGGTAGGATTTAATTTAGAATTTGTAAAAAAAATTGACAATTTTTATGTTTAATAGGTAACCTTACTCAAGTCTCCCAAATACAAGGGTGAACACGAATGTACTTCGAATTTTCTTCTAATATTTTTTATTGTGTCCATCCTGTAATTTTATTTATGCTCATACTATATATAAAATTTTTTGTTGCTAATATATACGTATCTACTCTCATATCTAAACGATAAAATTTTGATTCTAAAATCTTAGAAACTTTTTATACAAAATTTTATATTATCATTATTATCTTGGCAAAAGTATTTTAGGAAATGTTTAGATTTACGGATACCGCTTCTTTTTCCATATGTGAATTGTCAAAGTAGATTTGATTTATTCATTTAAATTTGAAAATGAATTTATTGAATTATTTTGAATTAAGATCAAATTAATATAATATACAAATCTTAGGGACTAAAATTATTATTATTCCACGTTACAACACCATTCCATTAAGTCAACAGTCAAAAACGAAACTTAATTTTAGGTATGATTATGAAATTAAAAATAGTTGAATGATCAAACCAGAAATACATAATAATTGGTGACACTAACATGTAGTTTGCCCTTTATATTATTTCTTTACTAAATGTAATTTCTATTATTTCATTTTTCTTCTATTTGAATAGTCAAACGGTGTAAATCTTACGCGGATAAACTAAAGTCGTTAGAACTCAATAAGGGTAAACTACATTAGATGTCATCAAATTTTAGGTATTATATCGTTTATATCATTAAATTTTTAATTTTATTAATTATAGTATTAAATTTTAATTTTTATTTCAGTTATATCATCGGACCATGAAATCATTAACATTTGTATCAAAACGATGATATTTAGTGAGGTGTCTATATCAACAATTGTTAATCACGTTATCATACCATTAACGATTTAATAGTTTAATAATATAATTAAAATAAAAATTAAAATTTAATATTATAATTAAAAAATTAAAAATTAAATAATATAAATAATACAACACCTAAAATTTGGTGCAATCTAACGTAATTTACCTCCTGAATAATTGCGATTCTTCCTTTCTTCTGAAGGAAACTGCGAGGAGCATTCATAAAAGTCCAGATCTTAGAGGTATAAAAAGGAAAGTGCATTACACTATCTGGGTTAGTTCTTCATCTTCATTCGAACTTTCATATTTCTTGAATTAATTTTTGGCCCTTTCTGTGTTTCCACCAAGATTGTTATGGCAGCAAATTTAATCGGAGGGGCTGCTTTAGGGGCAGTTTTTGGAGAGCTCCTTAGAACCGTTGTAGAGGCGAGTAGAACAACTGCCATGTTTCGTGATACCTTGAAGGAACTGCAGTCCACGCTATTATCCATTGAGCCAGTAATAAAAGAAATAGAATCATTCAACAAAGTTTCTGATAAAGAGCACGAAACAAAACAGCTCCTCGAGATTATCGATAAAGGGCAGAAACTTGTCACCAGGTGCTGCAAAATCCACAGGTTGGACTTCATCAAGAAGACTTATTACGTGAAAAAGCTTCATGAATTGAACAGATCACTCGACAGGTTGTACCAGATTATGCAGGCGCAGCTGGTGAGGGACGTGAAAGAGGTGCTGTTTGAAACTAAAGAGATTAGTGTGGGAATTAGAAGATTGAGTTTGAAAGAGGGATCTAGCTGCGGGAATAGGACGTTTAGTCAGGTTTCGGATGTGGATTCATTCAAAGTTCCCGAGCCTCGAGATGTGGGCTCATTCAAAGTTCCCGAGCCTCGAGATGTGGGCTCATTCAAAGTTCCTGAGCCTCGAGGGGAAGTTGTTGGATTCGATGAACCCTTGAAAGAGCTAAAGATGAAGCTTTTTAAAGATGGGGTTTCAATCATTGTTGTATCTGCTCCTGGAGGATCTGGGAAAACAACATTGGTTAAACAGCTATGTCAAGATGCAGAGATCAAAGGTATATCATTCCCGAGCTTATAGCTTCTCTACGCTTGACTTTAGTTTCTAGTTCTTTACTGGTTTATTGTTTATGTAATTTGTAGACATCATGGTTATAATCGGGATTTAAATTATGGTTGCGATCATGTTTTGGGTTGCGTTGCGTTTATGGTGGTTATGCAGTAACAGTTTTGGATGGCACCTTTACTGCTATATAAGGGCTTCTATTCTGATAGCACACTTCTTTTAAACCTCTGTCTATAATCACTTAATTATAATTCCCTTTAAAAAGGAGGTTGCATCTTGGAAATAAGGATATAAGTTTTGCTGAATTTGAACCAAAACTTGGTGGTTGCATGAACCAATTAGACTAATAAGTCTCGAGTTATGAAATGCTACAAAACATCTTCGAATATTTGGCAGATTTCTAATGCGATGTTTAAACAGAAAAATTTAAAGACAACATCTTCTATGTCACTGTTTCAAAGACACCAAACCTGGAGTTCATATTGCAGAGACTACTCCATGTTATGGATCATAGTGGAGTACCTGAATTTCAAAGTGAGGAGGATGGTCTGAACCACTTGGAACGTAAATTAAGGCAGCTTGCAGTCAGTCCCATATTACTGATCCTCGATGATGTTTGGTCTGGTTCTGAATCCCTTGTTGACAAGCTCAAGTTTAAATTGCCAGATTACAAAATCTTGGTAACATCAAGATTTGCCTTTAGAAGATTCGATTTTACATATTGTTTGAAACCATTAAATGATGATGATGCGAGAACCCTTTTCCGTCATTGTGCATTCCTGCAAAATGAAACTCCTTGCATTCCAGAAGAAATCGAGAATCAAGTAATTTATCAGTCTGAAGTACTATTGATTTTACTTTCACCTCTTGAACCGTAAATAATGACGTGCTGTGTATTGAATTTTAGGTGATAGAAAGCTGTAAAGGACTGCCACTGGCCCTTGAAGTGGTTGGTAGGTCGCTTTGTGGACAGCCTATCGCAATGTGGCGAAAACGAGTGAAACAGCATGCTAAAGGACTATCCATCTTGCATTCTAATGCTGATCTTCTTGCTCATCTTCAAAGCAGTTTGGATACCCTGGATAGTCAGGCAGCAATAAAGGACTGCTACCTAGACCTAGGTTCATTCCCAGAAGATCATCGGATTCCAGCCACTGCGCTTATTGATATGTGGGTGGAGCAATACGAACTCGATGAAGATAATGATGCTATTGGCAACCTCCATGAACTCTCTGACAGAAATCTGGTTAATCTAATAGTCATGAGGTATGCTAGTTGGTTCATGCTTTATATCTATCATACAGGACATATTCATCCCGACCTTGTTATCAGATAGGCCGCAAATTATCGTTTACGATACTGGTGTTCGAATCTCTATTGAACTATTATTGCTTATTCAACAGGAAAGACGATGAAAGTGAAGCTGATGGTTGCTACAACGATCACTTTGTCATGCAGCATGATCTTCTAAGAGAGCTTGCTATCTATCAGAGCGGATTGGATCCCGTAGAGAAAAGAAAACGGATAATCATAGAGTTAAGCGGAAACAATATTCCTAATTGGTGGTCTGAAGAAAAGCAGCAACCACTTGGTGCTAACCTCTTGTCTATCTCCACAGGTTGTTTATCTCTACCTCTCCAACTTTCAGAAGCAATTGAGATATTTATGTCCTTCCAATAACTTGTCGTGTCATTTGTTCTCACAGATGAATCATTCTTATATAATTGGGGCTACATTCAAGCACCAGAAGTTGAGGTTTTAGTTCTCAATTTTCGGACAAAGAAGTACACATTACCTGTCTTCATGGAGGAAATGCGTAAACTGAAGGTTTTGATTGTCATGAATGATGGTATTTGTCCTGCAGAAGTAGGTAACTTTCCACTTCTGTACTCTTTATCCAATCTAAAGAGAATCAGATTAGAGAAGGTTTCGGTTCCGTCTCTCGATACGAACTCCTTACGCCTAAAGAATTTGCGAAAAATATCCCTAGTCATGTGTAATATCAATCAGGCTTTCAAAAAGGGTACACACAATTTTTTAGATGTTTTTCCAAATCTTTCGGAAATCGACATCGACTATTGTGATGATCTGGTGGAACTTGGTGAAGGGTTGTGTGACCTTATTCAACTGGTGAAGCTTAGCATCACCAATTGCCACAAGTTCAGTACACTGCCTGAGGGCATTGGAAAACTGGCAAAATTGGATGTGCTAAGGTTGACATCCTGTACTGAACTCAAGACATTGCCTGAGACCATTGGGAGCTTATCCAAGCTTACTATTCTCGACATTTCCGACTGTCTAAGCATCGTAGACATTCCGGCCCAGATCGGTGAATTGCAGAGTCTAAAGAAGCTCTATATGAGAGGGTGCTCCGGTTGTAACCTGCCTCCAACAATCACAAAGCTGTTACATTTGAAGTATGTTATATGTGATGAGGAGACAGCCTATCAATGGGAGTCTTTTGAATCTTCTCTCACTAATTTAAGGGTAAGAGTTGATAAAGAAGATATCAACTTAAAATGGCTTCAGACATTTTCATAATCTCCTATTCTTTTCATATTTCAAATTTATTCTGTTTGTTTTAAACTGGATAACATTTTGATATTATATTTTAATTGTATTCCAAATTTGTTCTTTAAATTTAAAGCATTTCAATATTAACCAATTATATGTAAAAAAAGAAAAGAAAAAATCATTACAAGCATCATGAATCAAAATAGTATCAACCATAAGGAGTAGTATAGTTTGATACTAATTCTCATTTAATCAATAAAAGTATTCATTTTTTGGTTAAATTCTTGGGTAAATTATACGAATAGTCCCCTTTGTTTTCGGTCTGATCGACTTCGATAACCGGTTCAAAAATTAAGTACGTTTGGTCCCTTATATTATTCGTCTGTTCGGTTTAAATTCCTCAGCCGTTAATTCTCGTTAACTCTTAACGGAAGTGTTACGTTGATAATTAAAAAATTAAAAAAGTTGTCCCTACACTCCCTTGCTGTCGGTAAACAAGACATTCTCGTTGGGGTTCTCGGCGCTTTCACTTTCGGATGCAGATAAACCACGTATAGAATTATATATAAATATTTCATTTATTACAGAAAAATTTGCAAGTGGGATCTTAACTCCCATTATTGTCTTTGTTTTCTCAATTTCATGCAGCTTGAAGCATGTTCCGGGTTTCATTGAAAAGGCAGAGGAATATGTGATGTTGCAGTTAATGACTCGTATGTGATTCGGCATGGACAAAGTTGTAGAAAGATGTACGTTTCAATGGTTATGGACTGGGAGCCTGATTCTGTTGATGAAGCTTTAAGATACAGCAGGCACATTCTTAAGTGGAACCTGGAACGAAACTGTAAAGAGCTTCGTAAACACCGGGATGTCGTTTACAGATATTGAGGCAAGCTCAAACTCATGAACCATTTTGTTCGTTTTATGATTAATTTTAAGCTCAAGTTCATCCTTCTTTTCAAGTTGGGGACTTCAGCCAAAGCAGAGGAGGAGAGGGGGAAATGTAAAATGGAGATGTGGGGTAATTACTAATCTACTATCCCTGTTGAATTGTTAGAGCTGGCAGAACATTCTAAGTACCTGGAACCTTTGGGTTTATAGTAAACAAAAAAACATACTACAATGACAAGAGATAGAACAACCAAGGAAGCGTATGAGATGATAAATAGTGATGTTTAATTATGTGGGTTAGTAATACTCGATCATGACGAAAGAAAAGCTGTCTCAACGCAGTTGTTCCTTAGGCTTAGAAATTTATTCAAGTGTTAATTGCGTAGGCATGCAGATGCTTGAAAATATTATTGGCAGAGAGGAGAAGAAAATTTCACTATGAAAAAAATACAAGATCTATTATAATTGTTGCAACTCTCTTACCATTCTAAAACAATCTTATTTCCTACTTTCTATTTATAGGGATGGAAAATATAAGAAACAAGAAAACTTGCATATGAAGAATCCAACTCTAATTGAATTTTCTTTCTTGATCAATATAAAGACGGCAAAAGACTCTGTACCGTAGGTGCATAATGGTCCAAGAAGAAATTTAATCACAACTCTAATAATAAATTTGAATATAGTCTATGTATTCTAATTTAATCTTTTTTAGATAATATACTCTTCAAACTTTAAATTTAACAATAATAATTAAATTTATTAACCCAAATTATAATATCAATCTCTTATCTCACGTATTATTTAGTGGGTTAAGATTAAAATTTAAAAATTCAAAAACACACAAAATATAAGAACTGAATCAATGACTTATGCATATTATAAAATCTAAATCTATAATTTATTCGAGCTAAGGAGAAAATTTGAATCTATTTTTTTTTTACTTGTATTCAAAGAGATCAATCACATTCTCATATTATAGGAAGAGGGATTTAAAATTAAAAAAGAAGAAGAAATAATTAGAATTTATAGAATGATTTAATAGTAAAAGGGAATATAATTCCTTTTAGAGGAGCTGAGTTTACGTTTGAGGAGTTACTTATACATGTTATATGCTGTCAGTTGTAAAAAAAAATTCTAAACCTATATTATCTTATAATTTTTCGAGACTAATAAAAATAATTAATATTCATACGAAAGTTGATGCTTTTGAAAATACTAAAAATAAAAATATTAATTTTTTTAAAAAGAGATTATTTCCACAATATTAAATGTTTCCTAGAGACAGAATTCAGATTTTAAACATAAAAAATAAAGCAGAAGAGTTAGATTCAATTTATAGTTATCTTAAAGTTACGGTTAGGGATGAGCATGAGTTAGGTTTGGTCGAGTTTTCGGTCAATCCGAAAATTGTATACACTTCATCTGAAATTTGACCCGGTCCGAGTTCAGGGTAATTTTATTTAACCTAACTTTGGAGATAAAAATCGACTATGACCCAGTCAAACACGAAATAATATAAAATTATTAATTTTATTCAATAAAATAGAGACTTAATTGAAAAAAAGATAATATAAATATGGGTATTATTATAATTATACATAAATATAAAAGATATAATCATATTATTTTTCAGGTTGGCTCGAATATGTTTTACCATAAACCCCCTAATCTGACTCAAACTTATCATCTAAAAAACTTGACCAAACCTGACTTAAATTTAATTTTTTTGAAAAAGCCTAACTCTATTAATTCAAATCAAATCAAAAATTGTCGGATTTGAATCTTGTACATCCCTAGCCACGGTTGACGTTGTAGGCCCAGCCCATGTGATGGGCGCTACAAGTACAATGCGGCAATACTATATTTATAGAAAAAACAAAAGCAAATGATATGAGTTAAGGTGACGTTTGGTTAGATGAAATTCTTTAGAATTGGGGTGAAGTGGAATATAATTCTACCATTTTTTCATATTTGGTTCAATTTTTTTAAGGGATTTGGAATCTCTCACGGCTTCAATTTTCCATCAAATGAGGGAAAGTGAATTACATCCAAGAATGGATGGAATTCAATTCCCTTGTTGGAGAGAATTGAAATTTGACCATACTACCCTCACAAATTATTTGATAACTTATTCATATATTAAAAAAAATATTTTTTTATTATTTCGGGTCGGGTCGGGTTTCTAATTTATATATTCAGGTTGGGTCAGGTGAAACTTTATTTTGGTCGGGTCGGATCGATTTTTTTAAGTGTGATATTCGGGTCGGGTCGAGTTCGGGTTTAGGGTGAAAAATACCCGACCCGAAAATATATATAATTTTACCTTATATATTTAGGAATAATTATAATAATACCCCTCTCTCTATATATTTTTTCAATTAAGTCATTGTTTTTATTGAATAAAAATAATTTTTTATTATTTCAGGTCGGGTCGGATTTCTAATTCATATATTCTGGTTGGGTCGGGTGAAACTTTATTTATTCGGGTCGGGTCGGGTTTTTTTAAGTTTGATATTTGGGTCGGGTTTTTTTAAGTGTGATATTCAGGTCGGGTCGGGTTCGGGTTTAGGGTGAAAAAAACCAGACCAACTCGAAAAAAAAAATAATTTTATCTTATATATTTATGAATAATTATAATAATACCCCTCTATATATGATGTTTTTCAATTAAGTCAATGTTTTTATTGAATAAAAATATTTTTTTATTATTTTGTGTCGTGTCGGGTCAGGTTTCTAATTTATATATTGAATAAAAATATTTTTTGGTATATTTTTTAGTAACTAATTAACATACTCCGATTGGAATGTATCGAAATATTACTTTATCTTTTGGTAACTTATTAACATATTTTGATTACGATGATTTTAACTTATGATATTTATTAGCATGATTTTTATAATTTATTGAAATGAATAATCAATCAATAAAATAAAAATTTAATATTTTTTTTATTTTTTATAATATATTACTACACGTAAGTTGTAAAACAAACTAAAATAAAGTAAAAAAAAACAAAAAGGATAATTTTAACATTTTACATTACTAAAATCAAATTCATCTTATATGTCTGTGAACCAAACATATATAGAATTAGATTCTAATTTCATTTCCTGTCGATCAAATAGAATATAAAATTGAAACAAATTCTAATAACTTCACAGAATCCCCATAAATATTACACCGAACCAAACATCACCTATTATAAGTAAAAACCTCCTCAACTTTCAGTGCTTCTCAAAGTTCGCTCCAAAGTCCAAACGAGTAGAGGGTGAACCTCGGCCAATCTTCTTTCATTCATTTCTTTCTCTTAAATTAGCATACAAAATCATAGTTCACCTGACTCCGACTCACTCCATAGGTTAAAACCGATACCAAATAATAAGGGACTCCATTCTGTACCCGAAATGGCGTCGGACTTGCAGCTAATCGCCCGCCTCTGGGAGTTCTTGGATGAATCGGACCTCAACACCACCACCACCGCAATTGTGCGCCGGAGATTGGAGCAGGACTTCGCTATTGATTTGACGGACAGAAAGAAGTTTATTAGGGAGCAGGTCGATTTGTATCTTCAAAGCCAGTTCGAAAATGCCGACCAACAACAACAGGAGGATGATCTAGCGGACGAGAATAAATCAGAGGAAACCGATGGCTCTGATTCGGACGAGCAAGAGAAGGAAACTCAAAGAGCCAAGAACAAGAGGGCCTCTTCAAAGAAACTGTCAGTTATTAATTGATTAATTAGTAATTATACGAGACTTTACGGTATAGTATTTCAAGAAAATGCACGGTCTTATTTTTATTAATTTATTTCTTTTTGATATGGTTGAGATGATGCTTTATTTAGAAGTTAATTGTGAGGTTACGTTGCTTAGGCTTATGGTTATGTTTTAGCTTTACTGGTGTGCCATTTTTTTTTAAGTTTATAATCTTATAGAAATGCATGTTTAAGTGAATAAATGTTTTGAATGAAGATATTTGACAGAACCTGTTTGTATTAATCTGAACAGGTGTTTAATTTAAATCCAACTTAGTTAGTCACTCTCTGAGATTGCCGTGAAAGTCATCCCTACAAGGTTCATTAATCATAGTTCTGGAAACAAAAGGAAAATGGATAATAATAATGGGATTTTCCTTTTTCTTTTATACGTCTCAAAAAAGTGAAGGATTCATTATTCTGGGATTGTATTTTTCTTTATTATAGAAAATATTTCTTATAATTTTCACCCATGTTGATTTGGAAAAACTTGAACATTCTTTTAGAGCTTTGACAAGTTCTAGTCAACTGTTTAACAGTTAAATTGTTCAAAAATGCTTTTAATTTTAGTAGGCAATTTGATTTCCAAATTCATGTGTTCTTATTTTCCTATGGCACATTTGATTTTATGGAAACATTTTCTCTTCTCCCATTTGTCTTAGAAGTTTTGTTAAGATTTTTTTAATGATCCCTTTCAACATGTGATGCTGCCGGTACATAAATTTTAAAGACGGAAGTTGTGTTCTCTTGGCTGCAATGCTTTCAAACAAGTGAAAGCTACCACATGCTCTCTCTTTGTAGTTGAAATTTGGCCTCTGGAACAGGAAACATTGGTCTTGTTCTGCCCCTTAGTTTTGTGTATTTAAGCTCTGGTTATCTTATAAAATTCACCCATATGTTGCAGTATTGTTTTTATTCTCATTGACCTTATCTATATAATTAGACTTGATGATTCTCGATAATCTAAATGTTGTTCTCATTCTTTTATATTCTGAGGGCTGGGAAGAAGGAATGGGTTGATCTTGTACTTGTAATAAATGCAGACTCCATAGTCTCCTTTCTAACAAGATAGATTAGCTTTTGTTTGAAGATGTGTTCCAGGTTACCGTACAATGATTTCTTATCTGTATCGCATTAAGACTTGCATGTTGTACGGACTTCTTGATTCACTTCTGAACCAGTAATCTGTTGTTTTGTAATATTTGTCAACAACAATTGCTGCAGTACCACCAGAGTGGCAGGACTCAATGTGTGGCTTTTAGTAAAGTTTAAAAATTTGTTATTTCACGTGGATCAGTTAGCCTATTTTAAAGGGAGTTTATGAGTGAATTGTTGATATTATATCAGTAGTTTAGAGTCTCCCTCAAATTCACTAATTTTCTAGAATATACCTATACTAAGAATTTCCGTTTTACATTGCCATGGAAGCTCTGAAGTTTAGTAGCATACAGAATCAGTGGTTGCAATTGCTATCAAACTTATAGTTGCTAGTTTTTGAATTATGGTTGTTTCATTTTATAATATAGGCCAAAAAGAGTCGATGGTGAAGGTAAGAGAAGAGGAGGTGGTTTTAACAAAGTGAGCAGACTTTCCCCACAACTTCAGGAACTTTTAGGAGTTCCTGAATTGGCAAGGACTGAGGTAACTTTGAAACATCTTGAATTGTTTTCAGTTTCTTCTTTGTTAGTTTCATAAGTAAGTCATGAAGCTATTTTGTTCTAAATTTTCTGTTCTATAATGGTGCTAGGTAGTCAAGCAAATATGGGTTTATATTAGAGAGAAAAATTTGCAAGACCCAGTTAACAAGAAAAATATAATTTGTGATGAGCCATTGCATGCACTTTTTGGTGTTGATTCCATTGACATGTTTCTAATGAACAAAGCCTTGTCAAAGCACATCTTGCCCTTGGATTCAGATGAAGGTAATAAATCTGTCCCTTCTACCATTTTGCTGTTTTTTAAACTATTTTAGATAATTTCATTTGGTATGTTTGTTTTTTGGCTAGTAACTGCAAATGTAATCAGAAAAGTTCTTAATTGTAAATTCTCAGTGTTGCTTTTTCTCAAGAAATTGGGGCATTATATAACTAAATCAAGGAAGAAACATTTTTCCATGAGCAATATGCTGCACATGTCTTGTAACTTGAACCAATGTATTATCTAATATGACGTGCTCAATTTGTTTCAGTCAGGTCAATGGAGAAGGAAAAACCACGAAAGCATGAGACAAGAGGAGGTATGGATAGTAAATGAGTGAATTAAGGTCTTCTCAAGAATTTGTTTTGCATTAATAATTCGATATGGGGAGTTAGTAAATGCTAAATTATTCTCACAGCTTGTCAACGATTGTACCATTAAATTAAGGAAGAATACTTTTTTTTTCTTGAGAAAAATGCTGCAAATGTCTTATAATTCAAACTTATCTATTATTTAATACGATGTACTAACTTTAACTATACTGACTTCCATGCTATAATTATTCCAGTCAAGTCAATGGAAAAGGAAAAACCATTAAAGCATGAGAGAGAAGAAGGTATGTCTTACTAAATTAAGGTCTCCTATCCAGAACTTGTTTGGAATTGATATGAGGAGTTAGAATGTCTAATGCTCACATCTTGTCTACCATGCACCATTAGCAATGCCTTCACTTCAGATTTTGCTTCCCACTATCACATGATTCTAAAAAGGTCTTTTACTGTTGTTTATTGAAAGAATACTCACTTTAATTGTTGTTGCTAGACGTATTATTTGTTCTTAATGTTTAGAAACAGATTCAATTTTGCTCTCTTTCTTTATATATTTTATTGGAAATTTGGTCATTGAAAGCCTTGTTTTAGTCATAATCCGTGAGATATTCAAAGATCTGTTTTCTATGTAAATATAGAAAGTAAAAGCTGTAAATCAAGACAAAGTAGGAAAGTAGAAGCTGTCAAATATTGGCTCTAATTAGTTTCCTTTTTTGTTGTTGTAATTTCCCTATGTATAAAAGGAAGTCTTGTACTCATTTAAGAAATAAGACATATTATTTCTTCATATCAGAGCTATAATCGTGTCTTAACCCTAAAACATAACAGCTCCAAAATCATCGTAGCCATGTCTGAAGTCGCGTCGGAAATCACCTTAACCCCTGCTGCGGCCACTCCACAACACCACTCCACAGCACCACTCCAATTCTCATTCCGTCCAAATCACCACCATCCGCTTAAATGGTGAAAACTTCCTCCGATGGTCACAATCAGTCCGGATGTATATTCGTGGGCAAGGGAAACTCGATTACATCACTGGTGACAAGAAGACTCCTTCTGTTGATGATCCGCTGTACGCCATTTGGGATGCTGAAAACTCCATGGTTATGACATGGCTGGTCAATTCCATGGAGGACATAAACTCTAATTACATGTGCTATCCTACTGAAAAAGAATTGTGGGATAATGTTAGTCAGATGTATTCTGACCTGGGCAACCAATGTCAGGTTTTTGAGTTGATTTTAAAATTGGAGGAGATTCGTCAAGGAGATAATTCTGTCACCACATATTTCCATTTGTTGAAAAGGCTGTGGTAGGATCTTGATCTCTTTAACACATACGAATGGAAAAGTACTGACGACTGTAATCACCATAAGAAAACTGTAGAAGACAACCGTATTTACAAGTTTCTTGCCGGCCTCAATGTTGAGTTTGATGAAATACGAGGAAGGATTATTGGCAGACCTCCTCTTCCATCCATTGGCGAAGTATTTGCCTAAGTTAGAAGAGAAGAAAGCCAAATGAATGCCATGCTCAAAAAGAGTACTGGTGAGTTAATTGAAAATTCTGCCTTATTGAGTGATGTTGCAGCTTACAAGACAGCAAACTACCAACGCAGGTCTGATGATAAACCACGGGTCTAGTGCGATTTTTGCAACAAACCCTGCCATACACGTGAGACATGTTGGAAAATTTATGGAAAACCTGCTAACTGGAAAACCAGCAAGCAAGGAGAGAAGAATTGTGGAATTCCTACTTCAAGTGAAGCTGACTCAGGTCCCTTCAACAAAGAGCAGATTGATAAACTCTTGAAGCTGATAAAATCCAATTCCTCATCCGGTATTCCTAGTGTTTCTTTGGCACAAACAGGTAGTAATCCTAAAGCCCTTTCTTGTCCAAATTCCTCTCCGTGGATAATAGATTCCGGAGCCTCAGATCACATGACTAGTTTTTCTCATTTATTTAATACCTATTCATCTTGCCCTGGAAATGAAAAAATCAGAATTGCCGATGATAGTTTTTCACCTATTGCAAGAAAAGGACTCATTAAACTGACAGAGAAATTTAATCTCAATAATGTTCTTCATGTCCCTAAATTAGCTTGCAATCTTTTGTTTGTCAGTAAACTATCTAGAGATTCTAATTGTTCATTACCTTCTTTGAATCACATTGTGAATTTTAGGACCGAAACTCGGGGATGATGGTTGGACGTGCTAGGATGATTGAAGGTCTTTATTACTTTAATGAAGTATCTATCAGTAATAAAAAAGTTTAGAGTTTTAATAGTACTAGTTTAATTTCTGTTCGAGAAAAAATAATGTTGTGGCACTATAGACTAGGACATCCTAGTTTTCTTTATTTGAAACACTTATTTCCATAATTATTTAAAGGGATTGATTGTTCTTCTTTTCATTGTGAAAATTGCATTATTTCAAAAAACTGTCGTTCCCCTATTTATTAAAAGATTATCAGGCCTCTGAACCTTTTTATCTGATTCATAGTGATGTTTGGGGCCCTTCTAAAGTTACTATTATTTTTGGTAAAAGGTGGTTTGTTACTTTTATTGATGACCACACACGTTTATGTTGGATTTATCTAATGAATAAAAAGTCTGACGTGAAAGATTTATTCAAAAAATTTTACACTCTGATTGAAAACCAATTTCAAACCAAGATTAGTATTTTACATTCTGACAATGGAACAAAATATTTTAATGAACACTTAGGTGATTTTTTGAAAGAGAAAGGGATTTTTCATCACTCTACATGTCGTGATACCCCTCAACAAAATGGGATTACAGAACAAAAAAATAAACATTTACTTGAAGTAGCATGTGCCATAATGTTTTACATGCATGTTCCCAAATATTTATGGGATGAAGTAGTTTTAACAGCTACTTACTTGATAAATAGGATGCTTACTAAGGTGTTGACATACAAAACACCACTCGATTGCCTAAAATCATTTTTCCTAGAACAAGGTTGTTTTCTGATTTACTTGTCAAAGTTTTTGGATGTATTGTCTACGTTTATGTTTCATACCAATTTCGTTCAAAACTTGACCTACGTGCTATTAAATGCGTTTTTGGGGTACTCTTCAAATAAAAAGGGGTACAAGTGTTTTGATCCTCAAACAAAAAATTTCATACGAGTATGGATGTGTTGTTTTTGGAGACAAAACCTTATTTCACAAAAAAATATCTTCAGGGGGAGACAAGTGATGTAGAAGACAATTTTTGGGACATTTCTATCCCATTATCCAATGTCATTTATCCTACACAAAAACCACGCATTTATGAGAATGGTCGCTTTGAAAATCCAAATTCAAGTGTTTCTAATAATGATTGCCTAGAAGAACCAGATTCGTTGGCGCCTAGTGAAGGAGATTCTCGTTCAGGGGGGAGAATTACTACAAACTAATCAACACGATTTGAATTCTGAGCTTCAGGTTTATACTAAGAAGAGATTTCATCTGAGAAATAAAGACTCAAATATCAACCCTGCACGAAACCAATCTGAAGATCTGAGTTTTGGTGTCGAAACTTCAGGTAATCCTATCCCTACTACACCTTTGATTTCCTCCACTTTGTCAAACAATTCACCTAGTATTCCTGATCTTGATGCCCCTATAGCACTTAAGAAAGGTGTCCGAAATTGCACTCAACATCCTATTGCAAAATATATTTCCTATCACAGACTATCAAAAAAATCATAAAGCTTTCACATCTAGGATTTCACATTTGTTTGTTCCAAGGAATATACACGAAGCATTGAATGATTCGAATTGGAAATTAGCATATGGAGGAGATGAATGCTCTAAGGAGAAGTGGTACATGGGAGATTGTTGATCTACCCAAAGGTAAGAAAATAGTCGGGTGTAAATGGGTGTTTTCAATAAAAAGTAAAGCTGATGGAAGCGTTGAGAGATACAAGACGAGATTGGTGGCTAAAGACTTTACTCAGACATATGGGATTGACTACCAAAAGACTTTTGCTCCTGTTGCTAAAATAAATTCTATTAGAGTGTTGTTATCTCTTGCAGTGAACTCCGATTGGCCTCTACATCAACTTGACGTTAAAAATGCATTTCTTAATGGTGATCTGGAAGAGGAGGTGTATATGAGCCTACCGTCGGGATTTGAGAAGAAACTTGGTAGTAACAAAGTATGCAGATTACATAAGTCACTATATGGACTCAAACAGCCACCAAGAGCTTGGTTTGACCGCTTTGGAAAGATAGTTATCAATTATGGCTTCTTGCAGAGTCAAGCTGATCGCACAGTATTTTATAAACATTCAAAAGATGGTAAAGTTGTATTTTTTATTGTTTATGTCGATGATATTATTCTCACTGGTGATGATGAAACAAAATTAGCTATTCTGAAGAAAAGACTAGCAAAGGAGTTCCAAATCAAGGACCTGGGAGCTCTTAAGTATTTCCTTGGGATGGAATTTACAAGATCTAAGGAAGGCATATTTGTCAATAAGAGCAAATATTTTCTTGATCTCCTTGGAGAAACAGGTCTACTTGGTTGTAAGATGGTTGAAACTCCGGTTGATCCAAACTTGAAGTTACAAGCTGCTAAGGTTGAAGAAGTAAAGGACAGGGAACAATATCAGAGACTTGTAGGGAAGTTGATTTACTTGTCTCAGACACGGCCTGATATTGCTTTTGCAGCTAGCATGGTAAGTCAATTCATGCACTCACCAGGGACAGAGCATTTTGAGGCCGTCTATAGGATCTTAAGATATTTGAAAGGAACTCCAGGAAGAGGCTTACTATTCAAGAAACATGGACATCTTCAAGTTGAAGTCTACACAGACGTAGATTGGGCAGGAAGTGTTACAGGCAGAAGATCAACGTCTGGATACTGTTCCTTTGTTGGAGGAAACCTAGTTACATGGCGGAGTAAAAAACAAAATGTGGTAGCTAGAAGTAGTGCTGAAGCAGAATTCAGAGCCATTACCCATGGAATCTGCGAGGCGATGTGGATAAAAAGGATTCTTGAAGAATTGAAGTTTTCTTACTCGACTCCAATGAAGGTCTATTGTGACAACAAAACTGCTATTGCTATCGCTCATAATCCAGTTCTTCATGATCGCACGAAACATATAGAAGTGGATAAACATTTCATCAAGAAGAAAGTCAATGCGGGAATAATATGCATGACATATCTTCCAACTGATGAACAATTAGTTGATGTACTAACGAAGGGACTACACAAGAAGCAATTCGGTAAGCTGACTAGCAAGCTGGATATGGAAGATATCTTTAAACAAGCTTGAGGGGGATTGTTGGAAATTTGGTCATTGAAAGCCTTGTTTTAGTCATAATCCGTGAGATATTCTACGATCTGTTTTCTATGTAAATAAAGAAAGTAAAAGTTGTAAATCAAGAGAAAGTAGGAAAGTAGAAGCTGTCAAATATTGGTTCTAATTAGTTTCCTTTTTTTTTTTGTAATTTCACTCTGTATAAATGGAAGCCTTGTACTCATTCAAGAAATAAGACACATTATTTCTTCATTTTTTTCTAAGTTATTTTGTCCTAAACGTGTTTTGAATCAGGTTTCCAATGGTTATCATCACTTATTTTTGTCCAATCCTTAACCCTGCAATGTGGTGATACTAGTGATCTCCTTTCTTTGCACATGTCTCGCCATTTGCGTTGTCGTATCAGCTAACTAATCAGGCCTTTTCCGTATAACCATTAGCGTGGTAGTAAACATTTTCAGAGTGATTTGTTCTTACAGTTTCCGTTGTGTATTTTGTTTGGCTATTTCAGAACCAGATGAAGAAAAAGGAAAGGAAAAGAAACAGAAGGGATTTCTTGCTCCTCTTCAACTTTCAGATGCTCTAGTAAAATTTCTTGGTACGGGAGAAAATGAGCTTACAAGGGCTACCGTAATAAAGAGAATGTGGGATTACATAAAAGAAAATAATCTCCAGGTATCTGGTGTAGCCTTTTACTTCATCATTTAGTCATCATTCATAACTGCGTTATAGTCGTATACCGTTCTTTATTCAACTTCCCTATATCGTTTTGTCGATCTGTCGAATCTGCAAATTTTGAGGTGGATATACTGGATTTATAAAATAACAATAAATTTCATTTTCTACACTTTCGTTTTTTCTTTTTGAAGGATCCATCTGACAAAAGGAAAGTAATATGTGACGAGAAGCTGAAAGTGCTGTTCGATGTCGAAACCTTCCATGGCTTCACTGTAACAAAACTCTTGGCTGCACATTTCCTCAAGAGCTGACATGACTGGACAAACGATATTGTTCTCGTTAAGAGGGTTTAGTCCGAGAAACAAGGATTTCCATTCATTGTTTTGCTTAGCAAGGAGAGACTGTCAAATTTTTATTTATTTAAATTGGGGGCCTTGTATTTTCTTGATTTAAGGTACAGGGATGATGTTTGGTTGACGAACGTACAAGTTTTACAAGTTCAAACGGGAAAACAAATTGACATTCAGTTTGCTTAGGATCATAACTAATTGATCATATCACATCTAAATATAACTCCTATGGTTCCATCACCAACCTGAATAAAGCACCTGTCCAAGAAAATTCACAACAAACTCAATGGCTATATAAGAGACCAACACACCTTTTACATGTTAAGACTATCAAATCACTTTTATATTATTAAAGACATCAAATTTTATTTAAGTTTAAGCAGTTGAAAACGTACACATACACCTTGTAGATACCGAACTCAGAACCTGAAGAGATAATAACACTTCCATTAACTACCGATGTCACTCAATGAGCTCAAAATATTATATATTTTGATAAAAACAACTGGGTTTGGTTCAATTAGGTTTCTTATATTTTAACAAAATAATTTTGTTTTATGCTCTTTTACATTATTTTATAAATTTTGTTAGTGTTTTCATAAATAATTTTGAAAAATATATTTATTAATGTTATTCGACCTCACCTTTAACGTAGACCCAATCCAATTGTTTTAACTAGATATATTAATTAATATTATAATCGATGTTATAAAAGTTGGGTGACTTAATTGAAAGGATTTTTGCTATCGGTGGTGACTAAATTGATACCATACTAAACATTGGCGACCATTTATGTAATTTACCGTAATAAATATGCTGCTAGAATAAGAATTCACCGGCATCTCAAAAAGCGCCCCTACATATTTTGAAACGGCGCGAAGCGTTTCCCGAGCTCGTTCTTTCTCTCCATTCCTGCAAACCCTAGTTCTCTGGTAAGCATAAAAAATTCCCTCTGAAATATGCCAGGGTTTTCTGGGGAATTAACGTAGCTATTGGACTTAAATTATCATTCTTTTTGGTAGATAATCATGAGGGAAATCGTTACTGTCCAAGTTGGAGGTTTCGCTAACTTCATCGGTTCTCACTTCTGGAACTTCCAGGTTCAGTTTATCTTTATTTATTTCCTTTGTTTTTAGTCTGATTACATTTCTTTTTAAGCTTGTTAAATTGTTCTCTTCTTTTACTAAAAATGAAGGATGAAATGCTTGGCTTAGCCTCCGATCCTTGTGGCGATCCAGTTTTCAGAACTCGGAGTCTAAACATGGGTGTTCTCTACCGTACAGGTGAAACGCATCAGGTACGATGCAACTTTGACCGGTTGCTTCTTATGTTTTTATTTCCCAAGACAAGTTTATATTCATACCGTAAATTCATTCCCATGATTGTCTTAAAATTTGTTTAATTTTTTCAAGACTTTCACGGGTTTAGTTTTAGAATACTTAGGTGTATTTTATATGTTCTCGCGTTTAATGGAGATAAATTTGTTTACGATGCTATATATGTGCAGGGGACAATTACTTATACTCCTCGTCTTCTCTCAATTGACTTTCAAGGTGCTTAACTTTCTACTTGGAAAGTTGATGTTTTCTCTATCCAATCCACATTGTTAAGTTTTAAAATTAATTCTAGTAATGCATTTACATCTAGCCAGAATTGCTTCCTTTTCACTCATCTAGGTTACATGATATAGTAGTGTTTATTTTTGTTTATAACATATTCTACTCATGGGAACTTTAATACATTGTAGGATCCCTTGGATCAGTGAGTTCAAAGGGGACGCTGTATGGCGAGGGTTCTAGCGCTCCATCCGAAGTTGTTACTTGGTGAGAGCTTCCATCTCAACAAATTGAATTAGTAGTTTTTATGTATAATTTTCTTTTATTTTCTCTTGGTCTTTGAGCATTACCCCTTAAAAATAACTAGCGTACAGAAGTAGCTATAACTAAGTTGCTTTTGCCTTTTTCAGCAATATTTAGATGGTTGGGTGTCGGAATTCAATATCTGGCACAAGCTGATTTTTTTACTGACGATTCTTGTTCTAATTCATAAATATTTATGGTTTTTCTCCATGAAGCATGCTTTCCTTGCAATGTAACAAACATGATGTTGTTTCTGCCTCATATTTACTAATTTAACTAGTATTCTGTTTTAGACATGAGACCACTGCTTATGATTTCCGTTACTCATTGAGGAATGCTTGTTGTTAAGTCTTAGATCTCTTAAAAATATATTTTACCAAGTGAAAATGGTCTCTTTTTTATGTAGCCCTTTATATCACAAGTTTATAATGAATTAGATAAAGTCTTCTAAATATCAGGGCCATGTGGTTTGTCCTTGTGTGAGCTTTGAATGCATAAAACTTCTACGTGCACTAACTTGAACATCTTCAAAAGAATATACAGGGCAGGAAATGTTTCTACTGTTGCATCTGAACCTCAGAAGAAGAATTTATTCTTGCAAAGTTTGTATCAAAACGAGCAGGATGCTCCTTTGATGAATGGTGTCAATGGTGATTCTACGGGTTCTCAAAATGAAATTCAGGATACAGATATAGTAAGTTCTTTAGATGAAGAAGTTCAGTTTTGGACAGACTTCTCAAAAGTCCATTATCATCCTCAAAGTTTGTACGAAGTAAATGGGTTGTGGATGGATGCTCAAGAGTTTGACAATTATGGAATTGGGCGAGATGTATTCGGGGAGAACTTACGAGGAGAAGAATTATGTGACAGGCTTCGTTTCTTTGTGGAAGAGTGTGATTATGTCCAGGTAAAACTTTGACCTATTGTATGATCCTTTGCTGAAATCTCTTTTCAATATCAAAACTTGCAAGTAGACAGCATTAAAGACACTTGGTTGGGCAGTATGGATGTTGAGGATTTTGCTTAATGAACCTTTCTAGAGGTTTTAACTTAACAATGCCTAGGTAATTTGGTTTGGGAAGCTTTCCTTCTTTCCCCTTTAGTTTTAAGCTTGATCACCTCTTAAACATCATTTAGATTCAAATTTAATGTTGCTAGTTTGATTTGTTTGTCAATTATTGATGTGTCCACAGGGTTTTCAATTCATTGTTGATGATTCAGGAGGTTTCTCTCCAATGGCTGCCGATTTTTTAGAAAGTGTTTCTGATGAATACACAAACACTCCTGTGTTATTATATGCTGTTAGGGGTCCTAGTTCTGTTGTGAACCTGAGTACCAGGAAGCAGATGGTTGCGAGAGATCTTCATGATGCAGTATCTTTCTCAAGATTATCAGCTTTCTGTAAAATGATTGTGCCAGTTGGTTTACCCTTCTTGAGTAGGAGTAAGTCAAATTATGATATTGTCTGTCTTCTATATTATTTTTGTTTTTGATTCATATGTTCTTATACATGATTTCAAATTGTATTTGTCTCATAACAAGGATTCTCGTGGTACATATGTGCATACAGTTTCCTTCCTGATCATATAACATATCTTGTAATGTTCTGCCTTCATCTGAGTCATATCCTGTCAAAACATGCTTGTTACATGTTAATTATTTTATTTATGTTGATAGCCTGATACTCTTAAAAGAAATTATCCTGACCTCTATCTTCTTAATTAAATGGACTAAAGATTCTGCTCACCTAATTTTGAAGGTAAAGCTTCAACTTTCCTCAACATTAAAGATGATAATCCTTACCACTGCAGTGCTGTGTATGCTGCGGCTTTACACTCTACAAGTCTCCCATTCCGCATGGAGCCACTTGGTCCTACTGCAGATTCGTCTGATGTCTGTGGTGCTGTGGATATTAATGGCATTGTACAAATGCTAGCAGCAGGACAATCTAGACAGAATATGGTGGCTATTCTGGATGTTGCAATGCCAGGCCCCAGTTTGGCAGGTATCATGTGAATGCCATTCCGTCCCAACCCCTGATGAGAATGTTTTTTTTTATTCATTCTCTTTTTTAATAAAAAGATGTGTTATTACTTGAGGAAACTGGATTGTGTAGTTGATTGTTCCAAATTCTGAAATCCAGGGAGACGGGATGAGCAATCCTTGCTTGCGCATCTGCAGCCATTGACTCCAGAGGTTGCAGAGAATGTGGATGATTTGCAGGCTGTGGAATCAATGATTGTGCATGGAGCAATTGGGTCAGGTAACTTTTAGTATTAGTGCATATGCACAAATAAAAGATATTTTTATTGTAATATCATTCTTATAAATGTCTAGTCTCCTGGATAAGCTTCAGAAGCACTTGGCACATTATGGCACATTTTAGAAACACTTGCACATTAAATGCTTTACATACTCGAATTGGCTTTTGTAGTCAGTAAGGCAACCTTGCAGAAGCTGGAAGGTATATATGCTTTCAATACCTTAGCAGGATAGGTTTTCTAGTGACAAATCATTTCGTGGTATGGATAATAAATGGAGTGCATGCATTGGCGGTGAGGGTTATGTCAGTGCATGAAAAAGTATTCTTTTATCTGTAATTTTCTCTATCAGAGTGGCATTGGCAACTATGGTAACTGAGATTATTATGGTAACTGAGATTATTTTTATTGTTGCAGGAGGTTGTAATGCGTCAGTTTCTGAAGTTAGGAATGCGATCCATGGTGCATATGAATGTGCAACCACAAGGCCAATGTTCCACCATCTATCAGTGGCCCGTTGTCCTCTCCCAATTCCTTTGCCATTCCCTTCAATCTTTGGTAATCTTGTTGGTGAGCATGGTGAGCTGCTGGGAAGTTCAATCACGGGTTCTACATCAAGAGGATCACTTGATGTTCATTATATCCCCATGGCTGCTAGAATGCGATCCAGCTGTGCTATCTTGCCATTTTTGGAGAACAGATTGGGGAATCTTCGTAAATTTGGTATTGAGCGAGGATCTCCTGGGACAGAGTTGCTTAGAAGTTGGGGTTTTGGAAAGGATGAAGTGGAAGATATTGGTGAGACATTGTCTAAAATGGTTGGGATAGTCAACCCTCGTTCTGAAATATCATCTGATTCGGATTAGGTTCGTAGTGGATGAGTGTGCATTTTTCATGTTTTATGTCATGTTTATGTGGCGTCTCTGATCAGCTGAACTGCATCCTGTTTGAGCTAAAATTTCGAAGAATTTTTCACACAGTAGACATGTGATGGAAAAAACAATACTTGTGTTAATGAAAGGGAGATAAAGTGTTTGCTCCTTACTTGCCAGAGAAATTACCAGGTAAAAAAATCATGGCTTTTGTTAATCAATTTTCAGTTGTTTGCTGCCCATCTATTCAGTGTTCACCAATTACTAAATGTCATCAGTTTTTTTTTTCTGTATTAATGTATCTACAATGTTCAGAAAAGTTTTCTATAACTAACAGTCGAATCTCTTTTTCTTTATTCCCCTCTCATTCACTTTTTCCTTATATTTTTAGGCTAGACAAGTTTGTAGTTGGTATGGGGATTTTTTTTTAGTTATAGGTTGTGAATGTGTATAATGGGCAATTTTGCCCAGATATTGTAGTGGAATTTTTTTTTCTTATAATGCACTCCAAAAATTATTTTTTGAAATAGGATGTTTTGAGTAGTAGTACATAAAAAACACAAGGAAGAGTTGCTGTCTTTTGCATCTTCTTTTCGATGCTAAGGGTGCGTTTGGTTTACAGAATGCAATATTACTAGTGGAAATAAAAGATTATCAGGGAATAGGATTACTGAGAATGTTGTATTTTGTGTTTGGTTGGTTTAGTAGGAATGTAAGATTATCGTGTTTGGTTAAAGGAATAAAACATTATTAGAATGTATATTTAATCAAATTGTCCGTATTATATATTTGTATAATATTACAAATTGTAAAATATTTATATATTTTCTTTAAAAAATTAAATTCATAATATTTATATAATTTTTTTACAAAATTAAAAATATAAAAAATATTTAATGAAAGGGTAATTTTTTTTAACATCTGAACTTCATATAAAATTTTAATTATAGATTTTTTTTTGTAAATCTAAAATAATTTAAGGATAAATTTGTAATTTAACCATCGTAGGATTTTTATTATTCAATGACAGAAGAAGAATATTTTTGAAAAAAAATAAAAATTTAAGGGTATTTTAGTTTAAAACGTCTATAATGTTAAAATACCTAAGGGAAGGGAGGTAATGACATTCCCGGTAATATACCCAAAAAAATCTACTATTGATAATAAAATATTATCGGGAATGAGATTTCCGGTCAACCAAACATGGGAATGTGTGATTTCCATCCCATGGGAATCCTATAATCCTTAAATCAAACACCCCTAAGAGTATGGGAAGGAAAGACATGGGTGTACACATGCTATGGGAGCATGGAAAAGATATCGGTTTTTTCCATCTTTATGAAGACGTCAACTGTTGCGGACGTCTTCACTGTGAGAAGATTATTTAAGGAAATAATCTTGGAGATGCATCAAGGGGAAAGCATCATTTATCGTGTATAATGGTTTGAATACGTAAAAATGAATACGAATATATATATATATATATATATATATGAAATATATTTTTCTTTTGTCTCCACTATAAATAAATGAAATATTATTTCTTTTTGTCTCCTTAGTGTAGTAATCGTCTTTTGGGTTCGATTAGAATTGAGTTTCGACTTAAATAAAATATGCAAGAGTCGCCACCGATCATTTATATATTTTTCAAACATAATTAGGTTGGCCGGACACCTCAATTGACCATCTTACCTGATTTGCGTGTTATCAGAAATATGTCGGGTTCGGGAGTCGGTTACAGTTAAGGAAGGATTAACACCCTTGTATTGACCTTTCGATACTAATTTAATTTCTCGGTTGTATTAATTGCGAAAATTAAAAGTTAAATTGGAATTTAAAAATTCGATTCAAATAATTTACCTTTGATCGATTAGAAGTACCCTTAAAAAATAAAAAATTATTAGATAGTGAAATAAAATATATAAATAATCCAAAAAAAGTTAAAAAAAAAAACGAAAGGATAAAATTTAAACAAATTAAAGTTGAGAGACCTAATTAATACTAAAGACGCGCTGCAATGAAAAAAAATAAGAGTTAGATGGGTTAAATTATAAAAAAGAAAATTATAAATAGGGACTGAATCAAATTAATTGAAAATTCAGAGGTAAAATTGAGGTAAGTGATCAAAATGAATTACACATCAAAATATCAGGGACTGTAGAAATAATTTAACTATTTCATAATTACACAATGCCCTCTATAAATACCCCAAAACACAAAAAAATAACAATCTCTCATTTCTCACCTTCCCCTCAAACTGAATTCTCCCCTCTTTAAATTATCTCCCTTTTCCCAATCGGTTTATGGTCGACCACCGCTCTGGCGAAGCCTCGTCGCACCGACCACCGCTCCGGCCACCACCACCGGTGGCCGAAAAAAAAACACCCTCATTCAAATCATTCTAACCCCCGAAGCCAAAATTGACCCCCAAATCCCCAAAATATACCTTACTCGACGTAGATCTAACGAGCAAGTTTCAGGTTTTTACCTTTTCATGGAAAACATTTCGTTTTCCGACGCTTTCCCTCCAATGCCGCTCCTTAATGATCCTTGCTCCTTTTGACGAGAAAAGGCCTATACTTTTTCTATATTTTTATGGTATTTGGACGAGTTATTTGGTTTGATCATTTTGCTATTTTGTGTTGTTTTTTTCTTCTTCGGGTAGCTCTTACTTTGTTTTCGGTTCGGTGTTTGGCTATTTTTCTCTTATGATTTTGGTTGCTTGGTTACATCTTGATCGATTGCTCACTGTTTGTTTTTGGTTGGCGTCGCCGGAGGCTTTTTATAGCCTCAATTTTGGTCGTTTTGAGTCTCGAACGCGAAAAGATTCGTGGGTTACTCGCTCCGACTTTCTTGTGCATGTCGTTTGGTAGGATTTTAGGGATGGTTCAGTCCCGATCTCATCCGGTTGTTGGCATGTCGTTGCTGTTCCAATTTCACTTCAAGGGTCGAGAAATTTGGTCGGTTCTTGAACTGTTCGGGCGCGTGACTCCACGCTCGCTCCCCATGCGACGCCTTTGGCTTGATATGAAACCCTAGCCCTCTACTGGGTCAGGCAGACAAGTTTGGGCCTTACCGGGCTTGCTGGGTCGGGCTTACTTCTGTTGGGCTTGTTTCAGACCCTTGGACTTGAACCTGTACCAAAAATAAAAATAATAAAAATAAAAATGAACTAAATAAATAAGATAAATAAATAATAATAAAAATAAAAACTATATAATATTTTATTACATGTTTTCAAAAATCATTTTTTAATATATATATATATATTATACCTTTCAAAACCCTTTTTAAAAAATATATATATTATATGTTTAAAAAATATTTTTTTAAAATTATATATTATATACGTATTCAAAAATGTTTTCAAAATTATATATTATATACCTTTCCAAAAATGTTTTCCAAACTATATATTATATATTTTCAAAACCGTTTTAAAACTATATATTATATATATTTTCAAAAATATTTTCAAAACTATATATTATATATCTTTTCAAAAAAATATTTTCAAAACTATATATTATATATATTTTCAAAAATGTTTTTAAAACTATATATTATACATATTTTCAAAACGTTTTAAAACTATATTATATATATTTCAAAAAAATTTCTCAAAACTATATAATATATGTTTTATTTAAAAAACATATTTTCAAAACCATATAATGTATTTTTCAAAAACCTATTTTGTTTAAAAAACCATATATTGTATGCTTTGAAAAAAACGTTCTCTAAAAACTACTAAATAAACCCCAAAAAAAAATTCGTGTCTACAACTACCCCTCTTTGCCCATTTATCGTGTAACAAAAATAGGGCAAAGATACAAAAACACCGATTTTCATTTGGTAAGAAGAGTGTCCAAAAGCGAATTTGTTCACGTGAGTATGATATCTTTTCCTGTAATTGAAATCCGACTCAATGTCTATTGACTTCTCTTATCAAATATCTTCCGTGGCGAAGTTGAAATCCGACTCGAGAGTTCTTAATAGACCATGCCTTCCTGCTATTGTTGAATTACAGGTGACTCTTTCGTCATGAAGTTGAGTCGGTCTGAGATGTTTCAAGCATGATATATTTCGTTGTGATATTGAAATCTAGCCCGAAATCTGAACTGGAAAATGGCTTGTTGTTGCCAGATTGTAGTCAACCTTGGCCTTATTCTTGGCTTGAAGACCTTGGTTTGAAAATTCAACCAGAAAGTAGTTCCTTGCTGCTACCATGTTGTTAATACTCCCTTTAGCTGAATGGAATCGAACTCGAAAGTTTTCGTTGACAGATAACCCTTCTCGCCTTGAGCTATGCTATACTAGGATGAGAGATAGCTCCATGTTGTTGCGGATGACTCCGTTGTAGTGTAGTTAAGTTGATTTATTGGGCATGATATATCTCTTCGTGAAGTTGAAATCGTGGGTGACTCATTCGTCGTGAAGTTGAGTTCAAATTAGTTTTGAGTTGGATATCCTTCGTTGTGAAGTTGAAATCCAATCTTGTGTAAGTTGTATCATTTCCAGTTCAATATCTTTCGCTGTGAAGTTGAAATTGACTCTGAAAAAAATCTGCAAAACTATGCATATATGTGATGATTTGGATGTAATGTTCTTATGTGTGCCTAAAATGCATATGCGAAATATGTTATTTTAGGATTTAGAGAGAAATCTCAATCTCTTGTTGTCAGTCTTGACGACTCTTGATTATGGAATCTTGAATTTCTGATTCTTGATCTTGGATTCTTTAGTACGCTTAAATCCGACATACATTATGTGAACTTGCAAAAAAGAAGGTTTATTTCTGGTCTTGATTTAAACAATGCATTTCAATGAACTAGAACCCATTATCCTAAGTATGATGCGAAAGACCTTTATCGGCTTCCGAACACATGTACCTTTCGAAAAATCTTTATACAGTAATATACAATTATCTTTTCAAAAGTAAATAAATCATTCTCACTTAAATTCAATCTAAGATGCTTAAAAAGAATTGATTTTCTAGAGAAACAACCATATTTATTTATGAGGGAAAAAAGTACATGGTAAACATTATGAGAAATCAATATATAAAAGAAATACAAATAGATGCCCTAGATCTCGATAATGCGGATGCCTTTGAACTGACCACTGTTAGATGACTTTTGAGTGCAGCTTTTTCCAAGGGACTTTCGAGAATGTGACAATATTCGGAAGAGTGTAAGGTTCCTCCGAATTATTAATTTTACAGAAAACTCAGACGCCACAGTACTTTACTGCTTTGATTCGGGATTTTTTCCTTGCACGTATCATTATCCAAGTCGCCTTTTCAGGTTTTCAACCTGGATTCATCCTTGGTTTCAAGACGCCCTTTGCGGGTTTTCATCTTGGACCCACTT